ATATATATATATAAATTGTATATAAAAATTGTCACTTTTCATATTTCTGTTCTAAAGAGAAAATTACATTAATCCGGACGCCGCTACTCGAACATATATTGGAGCATAAACATATAATCAGTAATTACAAATTACAGGACAAAGTACAGAATAGCAATACGCCAATATACCTGATGACGATCACACGTTTGCTACTCTTATTTTAATGCACTTGAGATAGTTGAGATACGTAGATTCAATCGAGGCAGAAATGGATCATGCGATGGAGCATCATGACGACTCGATCGCGTCGTCGGTTCTGAAATTATGTTGATTATCGCGCGATAACGCTCGTGTGCGACTCAACGCGTTACAATCGCGACAATCTTCCCACAGGGCACTCGCGAACGACTTTTTGCGTACGAAATTCACATTCAAACGGTAACACTCGCGAAAAATATACGGAGTGAGACGCACACGATCCCGATTTCCGAGAGCCACCGCGGCGCGTAATAGCGCCAGTTTGAAAAATATCGCAGGCGAAATTGCGATTCTCGAAAGTCGAAACGCTCGAAGCGGCAAACGACTTCTCGCGATTAGTTACACTCGAAAGACGACAGAGGACGTTGTTCGTACAACGTGAAAATAAACGGACGGTACTCGAAGCTCCAATATTGCGAAAATTGTCGTTAATTGTTAGTAATTACATTAATAAGGATATAAATGCGTGCGCGATAGAGGTTTAGTAACATTTTGAATATTTATATAATAATTAGAATAGTGTAATTGATTCGTAATTGACCATGGTGCGAAGTAGCGACAAGTAAGTGATCCGCTTAATTGAGGTTATGTGATACACCTTTCTCTTTCATTTTCGTTATCTCGAACTAATTATTAAATAAACGGTTACATAGAGACAGACATCACCGGCGGAGATCGAGGTCGAGATCGCGATCGAGATCGGCCGAACCCGAGAAGAAACGACGTCGATCTAGAAGCAGGGACCGTGAGAGGGAGAGAGATAAGGGACGACATCGAGAGCGGAGGAGTCGTTCGAGGGATAGAGACAGAGAGAGGAGTGACAGAAGGGAACGTTCCGAGAGGGACAGAGATCGCGAGAGAAAACGGTATACTCAAGAAAAGAGTTTCAATCTGAAACAGTTGTTTATGGTGTTCATTTTCCTCTCTGATTGCTTCATGTTTTTGTAGATGTTTTTGTAGATGT